ACTTCAAGGGTCGGACCGTTACGGTGTCCATTGTCGTGGCATCCGCAATCCAATGGTGTCGTTCGTTCGGGGCCCCCTTAAACCCCCCTTTGCCTTCGGCGGTGCCTCTGCCCACCGCTCAAGCAGTGGTGTGTCGAAGGAGCGGCGGCCGCCCGCCCGCGGGGTCGTGGCCCCTGGTTGAGGTTTTGGGTGGAGTCGGGGAAGACCATGGTCACCATCACCATCATCACCATCATCATCACCATCACCACCACCATCACCACCACCATCACCATCATCATCACCATAACCATCACCATCGTCATCATTCTCATCATCACCATCACCACCACCATCGTCTTCATTCTCATCATCATCACCAGCAGCCTCATCATCACCATCATCAGCATCATCATCACCATCACCACCATCACCACCGCCGCCACCACCACCGCCCCCACCGCCATCAGCACCGAGGAGTGCACAGTCAGAGCGCTGGCCTGCATCGGTGGCTGCCTGGCCGGTGGCCTCCCTCCGCATGCCCCGCCACCGCCCGCGATCCGCCCGCCGCCTCCAGCTCGCCTCCAGCCCGGCGGCCCAACCCTGGCTGCTCGGCCCTCGGTCGCTTCCGCGCCTCGAGCGTGTTCCTTTATACGTTGTTCATTTATAACTCTTCGAGAGTTCTTTGATTTTGGGGGAGCCCAGATCCTTTGATTTTTAATTGTTTTACCCTGGGCCTCTTCCTGGCCACTAGGGGGCCAGGAACACTTGGAAACGAGCACCATCAGGAATGAGCACGATTAGAAATGAACGACGTGTATTGCTTGGGGCATAGTGAGCATTATAGCCCCCTTCGCCCCACTTTCCCCCCCCCTATAACGTAACGCCCCTCCCCCCCCCCCAGTGCGCCATGGGCACTCCCGCCGTGCGCCTCGGGCACGCGGCGGGGGGGAGGCGTTACATCCTACCCTCCCCCCCCCGGGCCGGCCCCCTCTCCCGCCCATAAATGCGCACTATCGCCGAACATGAAGAAACGCGCTCCTCCTGCCGCCCATGCGTCTAGGTTTGGCCCTGCGATCCGCGCGCGCTGCAATGGCCTAACACAGATCGTTACGGCACGAGAAGCACGCAGCAGAAAGGTGGAGTTTTTCAGGGCTCTCGTTGTGGTCTTTCGACGCTTTTTTTTACCCCGCGGCGCCGGAGCTGTGGGGATGAGGAGTTTCGCCGCATGCCGCGGTGCGAGCACCACTGGTGGTCATTTCCGATCCGATTCGGTCTCGTGTCTGGTCGGCTCGGTCCGATTCGGCTCCGGCACTGCGACGATCCGCGGCGGGCCGATGCGTGCATTGCGTTGTCGAGAATTTTGCAGCGGCCAGTCCGATTCGATTCCGGTTCCGTGCCGACGCAGCCGGATCTGACGCACATGCCGATTCGATACGGTTCCACGATTCGATGTAGATTGGTGTTGCCAGTTGGTGTGTTCGTCGCTCGTTTTCCAGCGCAGCAATCGAGCGGTGTGTTCTGTGGTCTCGTGGGACGGATCTTCTTTGCTTCAGTCATGTTCCGCTTCGCCAGAATGGCACGCACGTTCAGCCAGGACATCACCAGAAACATCGGGACCGGAATAGTGAACCCCAATCGGCTGCTGTAGTTGATTAACCTATTTCCATCTGCAGTTTCGTGGCCCCCTATGGTGCCAAGTCCATGTTGATTGCAGGCCTCGGTAAGAACTGGCGCTCCGAGGCAGAATTCTTGCACAGTGCGCAAGCGTGTATCACCCCTCATGAGCTAAGGGGCAAGCTTCTACCGACGGATTCAAGCTGGTGAGGAGCGGGTTTGGTCTTCACGGGAGGGGCCAGAGAGAAGCCATGATAAAGCAGAGGCGCAGTCAGAAATGCAGGGGCAAGGCAAGCATCATTAGAAAGCCGTGCGGCGGCAACTATCGGGTTGCGCAGTTCACGCATTGCACATCGGCCCAGCGGTCACTGTCGCCCCCGGGATTCGTGCATGCGAGATAGGCATCGCAGGGTCACGGCGCGACGCGCGCCTCGAGCTCCATTACTAACGAGGCCCCCATCGTTTGCTCTGCGCACGAACAGAGGCCAGTCTCAGCCGCTGTGGCGCTCACAGCCTGGCCCTCGTCTTGCATAGGATCCGAACCGACTGCCGCGGCCGGCGATCGGGTGGCATAGTAGCAGCTCCAGGGAGAGATGGAGAGGCGAGGCCGTTTCTTCCGCAGCCATGCTGGTACAAGGCGGGATGGCTTCCACCCTCATGGGCATGCGCGGTAGTTAGTTGCAGCCTTCTTCTCTCTCCCCACCTCCCCTCTGTTCCCTGACCGCTCTCGCCGTCGCGGCAATGGCGGCGCAGGCTCGTTCAGATCACTACAGCACGCTGGGCATCCCTCGCCGCGCTGGGGCTGACGAGGTCACCCGGGCGTACCGATCGCTGGCGAAGCAGTACCACCCCGACAAAGCCTCGCACTTGGACGAGGCCGCCCGACGAGAGCGAGAACGCCAGATGGCCGCAATCAACGTCGCGTACTCGGTGGTGATCTCTCCGCGCCAGCGGCAGGAGTTCCGCAGAAGACACATACTGTGGAGGCCCATGCCAAGAACTTCCCTGCTTGCCTCCAGGGTGCCCTGGGTTGGGTTTCGATGGTTTTGCTGTGGAAGGCGTGACGTTCCCACACCACAAATGAATCGTCAATGGACGTCCTGGGGTCTCAGTATTGGGCTTCTTGTGGAAGGTTTCTCGTGGACTGGCCTCCACTGTATACACCGCTGGCCCAGTGGTGGCTCCACCAGCCTGGCCAGGGCCAGGACCATGCTGGGCCCTGGAGCACGATGCGCGCAGGCCCTGCGGGCCTCGGCTGGGCGGGCGCGTGCACCGTGCAGGGGCCCCGGATGGCCCTGGCTGTGCACGCTGATGGTGCGCGCGTGCCTCCGACGTCGTGGCGTTGCAGACCTGCGGAGGTTTAGCCGTAAACGTGCCAACGGTGTGTCAGCTGACGCCGATGTGGGAATGCGTGGGTTCGCGGCCAGAGCAATTGTAGGAACGCGTGGTTCGTGCTTTCCTGCAACTCGCTGTGTCGTTTTTGCTCGAGACGCTTGCGTATCTCAAAAGTAGGAAACGGTGGTTCGTGATTTCCTACTTGCTGTTCTTCGTGAGCTCGGTGTCACAAAAACCAGATTCTCAACCGCACCGTTGACCAAGCACGCCGTCAGCGCGGCCTTTTGGTCTAGACTCCTTCCCCGGCACCGGCGTTTCCTCCCGAGCAGTTTCTGTTGACGGCCTTAGTAGGGCCAGGCGAGGGACCCCGCGGGCCCTACTAAGGGGGGCGGAGGGAGGCAAGAGAAGCCCGATCAGAAGGGAGGAGGAGGAGGAGGAGGAGGAGGAGGAGGAGGAGGAGGAGGAGGAGCCGCCCGAGCAATGTCCGTCGTGATTTGTTCACGGCGCGACGGGTCGGGGTCTTGCGCTCCTCCCAGGAGTACGACCTCGGGCTCCCGGAGACCCCGCCCGGCGCGGCGCGGCCGGGGCCGGCGGGGGCGTTTGCGCGCGCCGCCAGCCGCGCCCAGGCGGCACCCGCCTGCCACCCCCCCGCCTCAGGGCGGTCGCCCGTGTCGGCGGGGGGCGGCTTGATCGCAGGCGGGAGGGGCTCGACGTACAGTCGGGGCGCTGGAGAAGGAAGCCTTTTCGTTGGGGAGGGGCTCGGTGTTCCTTGATTGTTCCAAAGTTTGCCTCGGGTGCTCCGGAGGTTTTCCTTGGGAAATCGAGGTTGAACCTATGGGAAAAAGGGACCTCGTTCCTTATTCAGGGTCCCTTAGGTCAACGCCTCGACTGTATGCACCACGTCGTTGGGTCGGCCACGGGGGCTCGTGGAAGCGCAGACTTAAGTCGGGCGTGTCCCTCTACACGAGGAAGATTCGAAGATAGTAAAAAAAAATTGTCTGGGAACGATTTTTGTATATTTTGTGAGTGGTTGGGGGTCTGGTTCGACCAATTTCTATTTTTCGTCCAAAATCCGCCTGTAGGGAGACATGCCCGACCGAAGCGTAGACGGCCTCCAGCTTCCCTCGGTAATATCCGAACTGCGACGGAGAGAAGTGGGACGAAGACCCGCAGCAGCGCCTGCCCATTTGGAACAGGAGTCGTCGTTGGTGTCGCCGCCTGCTTCACCGCGGCCGCTGTCGGTTTGGGGCAAGCATTGCTGTTGGGCATCCTGCCATTTCGTTCCGCACCAATTTCGGAAGTGCCGGACAGACCACCTCCGGGCTCCCCATGTGTGGGGCGTTCCAGACAGGGCCTCGCCTTCGAGGGGTCGACAAGTCAACATGCCTTCCTCGGCAGAAAGTCAGAGCCCTGAATCATCAGGGGCAACTCGGGTCAGGGCTAACTCGGGTTCCTTTTTCGGGAATCCGAACCCGAGTTACCCCAGACCCGAGTTACCCCGGATAACTCGGGCGTCCAGAGCCCCGAATCATCAGGGGCAATTCGGGTCAGGGCTAACTCGGGTTCCTTTTTCAGGAATCCAAGCCCGAGTTACCCCGGACCCGAGTTACCCTGGATAACTCGGGCGCCCAAGAAAGCTGGAGGGAGCGAGCGGAAGGAAGACAAGGAGGGCTCCGCCAGCGGAAGCTGGCGGAGGTAAGAAAAATGCGCCCCAAGAGATGTCGATGTGTTTTGATATTTGCCCTCCGGAGTCGGCCACCTGGGAAGCCAGAGCGTCTGCACACAGCTTTTCGGCCGACCAACCGATTAGTAAGCAACTCCTGGGAGGTTGAATTCAGCATCGGCGCTGATATGTACGTGGTCAATAACTTTTCTAATCCGGCGTTTCCCGCCCAGTCCCGCTCACTCCCGTGCAATATGGCTTTATCACGGGCTTTAACATGTGGCCTCATCCCGCTCAGTGGCCCCTCAATCGGGTGTTTTGGTTGGGCGGGGCTGGGACGAGGAACAATCCGATCCAGAGCGTTCCAGAACGCTCCCAGAGCCTTCGGGAACGCTCTGAGCCATCCTCCAGATACTCCAGATCCGCGGCGCCTGAGACATCCTCCAGAGCCTCCAAATCTTAGAGATTCCCGATGTATCCCCACCCTATTGTTTCCCAACCCTCCTGCGCTGGGTTCTCGTTTTGAATAAAGCAGTGTGGTCGCATCCTCCCGCCTCCCTCTCCCTTCTCTCCTGAGTCTCACCTCGCTGCTTCCTATTGCTTCCTGCGTGCAGGCTTGCCTCCTACCTGGCCATCCCTGGGGGGCTACGATCTGCGAAACTGTCGCCACGTTCGAGGGCTGCTGCTAGCGGGCCAGCATAGTGGGCACTCGCCGCAGACTCGGATTAGACCTCGCCATCCCTGGGGCGCTGCGATCTGCGAAACTGTCGCCATGTTCGAGGGATGCTGGGGGGCCAGTATAGTAGGTGCTCGCCGCAGGCTCAGATTAGACCTCGCCATCCCTGGGGGGCTGCGATCTGTGAAACTGTCGCCACGTTCGAGGGCTGCTGGGGGTCCAGTATAGTGGGTATTGGCCGCAGGCTCAGATTAGACCTCGCCATCCCTGGGGGGGGCTGCGATCTGTGAAACTTTCGAGGGCTGCTGCTAGCGGGTCAGCATAGTAGGTACTCGCTGGAGACTCAGATTAGACCTCGCCATCCTTGGGGCACTGCGACCTGCGAAGCTGTCGCCACTTTCGAGGAATGCTGGGGGGCTGCGATCTGCGGAACTGTCGCCACGTTCGAGGGCTGCTGGGGGGGCCAGCATAGTGGGTGCTCGCCGCAGATTCAGATTTGACCTCGCCATCCCTGGGTCACTGCGATCTGCGAAACTGTCGCCATTTTCGAGGGCTGCTGCGGGGCCAATATAGTAGGTACTCGCCGCAGGCTCAGATTAGACCTCGCCATCCCGAGGGGGCTGCGATCTGTGAAACTGTCGCCACTTTCGAGGACTGCTGGGGGGCCAGTATAGTGAGCACTCGCCGCAGATTCAGATTAGACCTCGCCATCCTTGGGGGGCTGCGATCCGTGACACTGTCGCCACGTACGTGGGCTGCTGGGTGGCCAGCATCGTGGGCACTCGCCGCAGATTCAGATTAGACCTCGCCATCCCTGGGGGGCTGTGATCTGTGAAGCATTCGCCACTTTCGAGGGCTGCTGGGGGTCCAGTATAGTGGGCACTCGCCGCAGATTCAGATTAGACCTCGCCATCCCTGGGGCGCTGCGATCTGCGGAGCTGTCGCCACTTTCGAGGGCTGCTGGGGGGGCCCGCATCGTGGGCACTCGCCGCAGATTCAGATTAGACCTCGCCATCCCTGGGGGGCTGCGATCTGTGAAACTGTCGCCACTTTCGAGGACTGCTGGGGGGCCAGTATAGTGAGTACTCGCCGCAGGCTCAGATTAGACCTCGCCATCCCTGGGGGGGGCTGCGATCTGTGAAACTTTCGCCACTTTCGAGGGCTGCTGGGGGGCCCGCATCGTGGGTACTCGCCGCAGATTCAGATTAGACCTCGCCATCCCTGGGGAGCTGCGATCTGTGAAACTGTCGCCACGTTCGAGGGCTGCTGGGGGCCCAGCATAGTGGGTACTCGCCGCAGATTAGCCAGCTACTGAAAACGCCAGTACTCTCCTGTTTCCTCCCTCCACTTCCATCGTCACCCGATTCCCCCTGTCACCTTCTCCATGCTGCCGCTGCTGCCGCGATGGATTCCCGCCCCCACAATTCCATCATTTTCCTGCCCGTCGTTCCCGCCCCCGTTTTTCTTCAAGCCTGGGGCGCCAATCCTTGTCATGTCGATCGCCTCTCTGTGAGTCGTGCAACGCGCGCGCATCCCATGTAGTTTGCACAACAGATCGCCGCGCCTGCACTGTTGTTGTCCCTGTCAATATTGGCCCACGTCTCTGTCCACTCGATGCTAATGAGTTGGGTACGTCGCAGGGTAATTCCTCGTCCTGGCAGGTGTCGGCCCAAACCGTGTTTTGGCGATTCCCTGGGCCGTTTTCGCTTCGGTGTCGTTTTGCGGCAATGGCGGGGTGAAGACAAAGAGGCGGGAGAAAAAGACCAAGACACGGAAGCGAGAAACGACCTCTCGCCGCAGCGCGCGTCCACGGACTGGAAGGACCAGGGCGTCGCCGGAGAGCGCGCCGGCTCGCTTTCAGTGCACCGCAGTCGCACGGCATCGCGCTGCGAGCGCCTGGCGCTGCAATCGCACCGCGTCCTGGCTTCGCCTCTCCCGGCTGGCCCGTCGTCGTTTCAAGTCGGGCCTGTCACTCACAGGAAGACTATTCAAAATAGTCAAAACATAGTCTGGGGACTATTTTTAAGATATTCATTGACCATGTTGGAGTATTTTGAGGGGTATCCTGTTTGTTTCGTCGAAAATCCCCCTGGAGGGGGACACGCCCGACCCACTCGTCGTTCCGACGCGAAGACCTCCCCGGAGCTGCCTCCGAGGGCCGGCGACGGGGCGCGCGCCGAGCCCCTCCGCAGGCGGCGGGCCCCCGAGGCCCCGCTACCAGAGCGCGGGGAAGTACACGCAGAGCAGCCGGCAGGCCTCGCGAGCGCAGGGAGGACGTGCAGTCAGCCCTCACTGAGGCAGTGGCGAAGCGTCCTGGCTCGCCCAGAGCCCTAGCAAGCGATGGTCTAAGAACCTCTTGTGGTTTCCAAGATCTGCTTGGAGAACATTTCTGGCGGAGTCTGTCTTGCTTTATCACATCTGGTCGGTCCCTGCTCAACTCACAGTAAGGATGGGTCGGCACGAACGAAATGGGCACGGAAAGATTGGGTACAATGCCCAACAGCAGTGCCTGTTCGTTTTGGACAGGGCTCGCTGAGTGCGCCGCCGCGGCCTGTGTCCATTTGAGACAGACGGCCGCCTGCCCAACAGCGGCCGCTGTTTGGTTTGGGACAACATTCCGCCTGTAGGAGGACATGCTCGACCTGAACGTACACTCATGGGTCAATCAATTCTCCACCACCGTTGCCATAGACAGGACGGGGGAGAAGGGAGGATGGGGAGGTCCTCCTTCTCCTCCTCCATTCTCCCCCTCCTATTCCTCCTCCTCCCCCCTCTCCTAGCAATGGCAGTGGTGGCGAAAAACCGGCCCACCATGCACGTACATGAAGCCAAGTTGGTTTCGATACGGGTTGCGAGAACGTTCGTGTCACGAGGCTGGCCTCTCAGGAGCAACGATAGGGGGGGATAGGCATGCGGGGGGGATGCATCGACTCCTAATCGCCCATTGATCGCCGATAGGGGTCTGATAGCCCCACCCCGCCGAGGAAGGCGCGGTTTCCTTATCGGGGGCCTATCGCCGATCTGTCGGCGATGGATCGCCGATTCCAGGTCGATGCATCCCCCTATTTCAGACCACCCCTAATTACCGTTGCTCCTCAGCCTCGCCGACATGGGGTGGGCAGACTTCGTGTCCGTGGTCGGGCGCGTGCGTTTTTTTTGTTTGTGGGCCCCCGCAGGCCCGGCGCATGGACCCCTCGCAGTACACCGTGCACGTGGACGGCCGTGCCCGGCAGTTCGGCGGCGCCGCCGGCCCCGGCGCCGGCGACCCCGCGCCAGCGCCCGCCCCCTCCGCCGCCGGATCTCGAGGAATAATATCATAGCGCCCACATCGCAGAGCAGATTTCGTTCGGAAAACGATCGGATGGGCCCGGAGTGTCCAAGAGAATTTCGTGCCGGATTTCGAGGTGAATTTCGTGCGGAGTTCTGTTTGGCCAGGAGTGAAAACTAAAAACAATCCACGCGAAATTCACTTCGTTTTTCACGCGCCGCTTCGGGCAAACATGCACGCAGAAATCCACGCGGAAATCCGCTGCAGCACGTCTGCATGGTCGGTGCAATGAGGAATCAGATGCACAAACGTCGGAGGAGGAAAAGGTACCCCCCTACCTCTACGCTTCCCTCTATACACCTACCTCTGCACTTCCCTCGTGTGGGAGGCCCTCGTCGCCACCGCTGGCTTCGCCTTGAAGCCCTGATCAGAACGCACCCTGGGAGAGGTCAGGGGAGTATGTAGCAGTATCGGTAACTGTTGGCTTCCCCCAGAAAAGTGCATAAACGTACGGTCCAGATTCGGGGCTCAGGGTGTCGCGCCGCCGGTCCTGGCCCACAGCGCTTCGGCGCGACGCGCCATCCACCTGGGCCCCAGGCGTCAAGGTCCCAAGCTGTTCACAGCCTCCCGCCCCGCCGAGCGGCGAGACACGCCGCCCACTCGCAGTGCATAGCGAGTCGCTGGGGCCGCCGCCGCGACATGCCAAGCTGCTGGGCAGAAGGTCATGACCGCAAACTTGTGGAGCTCCGCGCTGCTTTCTCGCATGGGCGATGGGCCACCCCGGCGCGCTCCGCGCGTCGGGGAGTGGGCTCTTGCTGCGCAGAGCAAAGAGATCCGCGTGGCTCTCCGAAGGCTTCTGCTCAACATCGGCGGCGAGCGAGGGAGGAAAGCTCGAAGGAGAAGGCCTTGTCAGAAGGCGGCGGGACTTCTCAGAAGCCCTCGCGCCTTCTGAGAAGTTGTTCTTTGTGTCTTCGGGGAAAGCTCAGAAAACTTCTCACACGGCCGGGGGACTTCCGCGCCTCCTGAGAAGGCCTTCTCCTCCTCGCTTCCCCCCTTGATCGCCGCCAGTGAACCGCTGCTGCTTCCTCCAGGACCAGCGACCGTCGACGCGGGTGCGCGCGCGGGCGAGGTCCGGGACCCGAGCTACCTGCAGAGGCGGCTCGACCAGGCTCGGCAGCCGATGGGGCCCGGGTACAGGTCGGCGGCGAGCGCGGGCGGGAGCGAGAGGCGGCGGGCCTGCTCAGAGGGCTCGGGAGTCCCCCGGCGTTCCGAGAAGTGTTCCAAGCCTCCTTCCCAGGAGACACCGAAGTCTCCTCGGAAGGCCGGGACGCTTCTGAGAGGCCCCGCCGCCTTCTGGGAAGGCTTTCTCCTTCTCATGTCCCACTCTCGCTCGCCGCCGGGACTAGATGGGCGGATGGGCACGAGGTCATCATATTGACACGTTCCAGGATTCCCGAGAATTCCGGTGTTCCCCATACATTTTTATCGTAGCACCCCGCAATTGCGGATAAGAGTGAGGGGGCGGGCGCGGGCGACGCGGGCGTCGTCGAGCCGGCGGACCTCGTGGCCCCCACCTTCCTTGTCGATGGCGCTCTCCTCCACCTCCTCCTCCTCCTCTTCCTCCTCCTTCTCCTCCTCCTCTTCCTCGTCCTCATCGTCATCGTCATCCTCCTCCTCCACCTCGTCCTCTTCCTCCTCCTCCTCCTCTTCTTCCTCGTCCTCCCTCTCCCCCCCTCGTCTTTTCATCATGGTCCTCCCATTGTCGTCCTCCCCCTCATCGGCCTCCATCATCGTCCTCCCATTGTCGTCCATCATCATCATCCTCCCCATCCTCCCCCTCCTCGTCCTCCTCCTCCCCCTCCTCCCCCTCCTCCCCCTCGTCCTCCTGCTCCTCCTCCTTTTCTTTTTCCACGTTCTCCTTACATCCTCTCTTCTTCCACGTTCTCCTCGTCCCCTGTTTACTCATCCTGCCTCCCCCTCCTTTCCCAAGATAACTGCAACGCAATCTTTTTTCCCACTTTATGCTCCCCGCCTTCTCTGATCAAGGCAACTCGCCAGGGCAAAGTTGCTGGACGGGCTGGCGTGGATGTGCGGGGCGTGAAGAGGTCCTTGCGGGCTCAGACGGCATGCAAGAATCCGCCGCCGCGCTTGTGCGGCATTGGTTTGTTCAGTGAACGTGGTTTAGGTCGCGGGTGGGTCGCGGGCTCTCCACCTCCACCTGGAAGGAATGCAAAAGCAGCCCGCCGCAAGCGCCAAAAAAATTGGTTCGTACACGGAACGAGGTTTGGGTCGCGGGTGGGCCGCGGGTTCTCCACAGGGAACGAATGCAAAGGATGCCCGCCGCAGGCGCCGAAAATGTGGTTTGTACCCTGAACGTGGTCGCGGGTGGGCCGCGGGCTCTCCACCTGAAGACGAATGCAAAATATGCCCGCCGCAGGCGCCGAAAAATGTGGTTTGTACCCTGAACGTGGTTTGGGTCGCGGGTTGGTCGCGAGTTGGTCACGGGATGTGTCGCGGGCTCTCCACTTGGAAGGAATGCAAAAAAGCCCGCCGCAGGCGCCGAAAATTGTGGTTTGTACCTTGAACGTGGTTTGGGTCGAAGGTGGGTCGCGGGTGGGTCGCGGGGTAGGTCGCGGGTGGGTCGCGGGTGGGTCGCGGGTGGGTCGCGGGTGGGTCGCGGGTGGGTCGCGGGGTGGGCCGCGGGGGGGTCGCGGGGTGGGTCGCGGGTTGGGTCGCGGGGTGGGTCGCGGGATGGGTCGCGGGGTGGGTCGCGGGGTGGGTCGCGGGTGGGTCGCGGGGTGGGTCGCGGGTGGGTCGCGGGGTGGGTCGCGGGGTGGGTCGCGGGTGGGTCGCGGGGCGGGTTGTGGGTGGGACGACGACAACAAACAACAACAACAATAAACAACAACAACAACAACAACAACAAGAATCCGCACCGCGGAGTTCCACATCAGCCACGCACCCAGGGACAGTGAATGACCGTTCGGCCCCCTCACTCTGATATATGTGCTTCACACGGCTACTCGATGTTCTGGAAGTCCTGAAACGCATCTTGATCCAATCGCATTCTGACATCATTCTCCTCCGAGAGGGGGCCTCAGGACCTGGCCGCATGCCCGATGCATCACCGAGGCGGCGCGATCCTCACACCATGTTTGCTCGGCCCCATTTGGACCGACGCAGAAAAACGGGGCCGTCTGCGCCGACAATGGCGCGTAAGCTGCCCGCGTAAGGTCGAGCGTAAGCCCTCCTGCTCCAATATAGCGTGCCGCGCCGGCGGCCCGCGTAAGCCGCGGCGTAAGCTCGCCATGCCATCTCGCGTAATATTCGTTGTTGATCGTCGCTCGCGTGACGTTGCCCCCCGCGTTCGCCCGCTCCTCCTCCGCCCCTCGCCCTCGTCGCAGGGCTCCTCCAGGACCATGGCCCTCCCCCTCTCTCGTCTCCCCCCGTCTGCCCCTCCATCCCAATCCACTGAATCCTCCATCCTCGTCCTCCCTCTTCCCTCCTCCTCTTCTTCCTCCTCCTCCTCCTCCTCCTCCTCCAGCTCCTCTCCCCCTCCTCCCTCTTTCCTCCTCCTCCTCCTCCTCCTCCTCCTCCTCCTGTTCCTCATCCCTTCTCCCTGCCCCGAGGGGGCCCCTCCCGTAGGGGAGGGGTCGGGACCCTAGGGTCCCCCTGGCGCAGGCGGGGAGCGCCGGGCCCGAGGGGCGAAAAGCCCCCGCACCCCGGGGGACGCCGCCAATGCGCGGTTTCCTTCCCCCGGGGGGGTCGCCAGGCCCCGTGTGCTTCCCCAGGGCGGTGCTGGGTTCCCCCCCAGCACTCGCCGCCCTGGGGCGGGGTCGGCGGCCCGTCCCTGTCGTGTCGCTCGTTCGTGTCGTGTCGTTCGTGTCGCGTCGTTCGTTTCGTCCCCCTGTCGTGTCGTGTCGTGTCGTGTCGGGGTCCCGGGGTCCGAATCGCGGCCACCCATGGAGTGGGTGGTGGGTAGGGTTGGCGCGGAGCACGTGCTCCTGCGCCCCCTACCCCGACCAGGGAGCGCGGAGCACGGTCTCCTGCGCTCCCTGGTCGCGCTCTGGTCGCGCCACGGGGGCACGGCCCCGACCGTGGCGCGTCCGTCTTTTTCTCGCTGGCACTCGCCACGCCAGCGGAGGCATGTGGCTGTTCATGGGTTGACCATAAAAAAAAAAAAAAATCATCCCTTCTCCCTCTCCATCCTGCCTTCCTCCCTCCCCCTCCTCCTCAGCTCCCTCATCCCTCCTTCCTCTCCCCGTCTCCCCCTCCTTCGTCCCTCCTTCCCCCCTCCCTGCTCCCCCGCCCCCCCTAGCCACCCTAGCCAGCTGGGAGAGCTTGCGTCCCGAGCCCACCGAGGCTGGGCGCGCGAAGCTCTGCCCCGCCCCCCCCCCACGACGAGGGGGCCCCCTCCCGAGGGGGGGGGAAGCGGGGGGGCTCCTGCTGTGAGCTGCGAGGAACCCGCGCGTCGGTGGCCTGCCCAGCAGCAGGGGCCCGTCGATCGACGGTAGAATGCATCAAGGTCCTCCTCCTCCTCCTCCTCCTCCTCCTGCCCTGAGATCCTGGCGTCTCAATATTTGTTCGAGCCGGGCGTTTTCGGCAGGTGTTTGGGGCCCGGGGTCCCCCACGCGGATCGATCCGATTTCTACGATGCAGCAGCAGGATGGGGTTGGGGGCTCCGGCCGTGTTTCTTTCACGATGCTGTAGTTTTTCACGGCGTCGGATCTCTCGGCTCCACACTGCGAGATGACCATCCGGGGCATCGAAGCCGCAGAGGGGTTTCGACGGGATTCAGCAGGCCCTCGGGGCACGTCTCGGCCACCTGTGGGCCGGATCTCCCAGCCGACCGGGCAGGAGGCGGCGAGGAGGGCAATTGTGGTTGGCGCGTCGCGCCGCTGGCTCGCGCCCACCGCGCTTCGGCCCGGCACGCTAGCCACGTCCACGTCATCAGGCGCCAATTTCCCAAGCTCTCTCTCTCTCCAGCCTTCATCCCCACGGAACGGAGCGACACGCTAATTCGCTCGCAAGGCATGGCGTGTCGCCAGGGCCGCCGCCGCGGCACGCGGAGCAGGAGTGTTCACGACCGCAAAGTCCTTCCTCTGTCTCTCTCCCTCCCCCCACCTCCCTCCTCCCTCCTTTTGATCCGACGTTGCGAACACATTCTGTAACATTTGGCATCGCGACCTGAGCACTAGACCCTATCTTTCTAAGGTATTTCCCGAGCCGATCTGTGATGGCCCCAGGTCCTGCAGTTGGGCGAACCTGCCCGGCGTGAAAGAGTTGTAACGTCCAGATCGTCGGGTCTGCCTCGCCCCTCCAGCTCTCTCTGTTGCAGCAAGGTCCCCTTTGGGCGGGGCTAGGACGAGGATAAATCCCTTCCGGAAAGCTCCCTGAGCGTTCCGGAACGCTCTGAGAAGGCCGCGGCGCCCGAGGCATTTTTTGGAACCGCTAAATCTAAGAGATTCGGGACGTATCTCGGCCACGCGCAGAGGGGAGTGGGGGGAGGGGGAGGACTTCTTAGCAGCACTTCTGCTTCTTAGAAGGCGCGGGCCTTATCTATCCATGTAGGCCGGCGCCTTCTAAGGAGCAGCCTCCTTCCAAGGAGCCCTTCCCCCTCTCTCCACCCCCTTGTGCGCACCGCCACATATCCCCACCCGATCGAGCCTTCGTCCTTCTACCCCCACCCGATTGCATCCCCGATTCTACAGTCGGGGCGCTGAAGAAGGAACCCTTTCCGTTGGGGAGGGGCTCGGTGTTCCTTGATTGTTCCAAAGTTTGCCTCGGGCTTTCCCGAGGTTTTCCATGGGAAATCGAGGTTGAACTTATGGGGAAAGGGGGCCCCGTTCCTTGCTTCAGGGTTCCTTTGGTCAGCGCCCCGACTGCACCCCTCGAGCCCCGACTGCACCCCCGGCAGGCGCGCGAGTGGGAGAGGCTGCACTGCCCCGAGGGGCCGCCCGCGCCCCAGTACGAGTGGAAGGCGGCCTCGCGCGACGTGCTCCGCGCCGTGCGGGAGCGCAGGCGCTGCGGGGGGGGGGGGGGGCGATCGGCGCGGCCTGGCGTGAATCGGGGGCGGCAGGGAGGGGGGTGATGGCTACAGGGGGGGCGCGCAGCAAAAAAACATATATGTCTTGCGTCAGGGTTCCCTGGGTGTCTTCGCTCCGCGCGCCGCGCGGTGACTTCCCGCAGCCGTTGCAGAAAGCTGCTGCGTTCAGGGTGCTCCGGGTGTCTCCTCAGGTGCACCTCGCGCGCGGGTTTTCACCGTTGGGTCTCTTGCGAGGGTTTCTTGCGGCCGCGTCCGCACGGTAGGGGGGGGGGGGATATCATGGCGTGGGCCATGTATTTCCCTAGATTTCATGGCGCCTCTTCTTATTTCATTACGTCCCTGGCCCCCCCTTGGGCCGCGCATATGCCGCCGGCCATGATTTGCCCCCCCCCTCTTAGACGCCCCCCTCTTGGCCGCCTCCGAGTTAAATCGGGCATGTCCTTCTACAGGAAGAATGCTTCAAACTAATCGAAAGCCTGGGGACGATTTACAAACTATGTTTTGACTACCTGGCGGTATTTTTCTATTCCCAGCCATCCTGTGGTGTTGGGTCCTCGTTCTGAAGAGACGGTCCCCGCGTCCCTCCTCTCCGCTCCTCTCCTCTCCTCCTCCCCTTCCTCCCTCCTTCTCCCCCTGCTCCCCCTCCTCCTTCCTCCTTGCGTTTCACCCACCCAGTACAGCGTTTCGTAGCCCCATAGGGAGCTCCACCTAAGGCCCTAGTGGGGGTGGCCACATGCGCCCGCCACACCCATTACAGCGCTTCGGGGCCCCATATGAAATTCCACCCAAGGCCCTAGTGGGGGTGGCCACATGCGTCCGCCACACCCAGTACACCTAGTAGGCGCTCAATCTCTGTTTGATGCTCGTGCTGACAGCTGCTCCTAGCAAAACAGCCCCAACGCCCTCGGCCTTCCCGGTCGAACAGGGGGGAGAACGGGTGGCTCAAGCAGTGGCGAAGCGTCCTGGCGCGCCTACACGCCCACCAGACAATGCTCTGCGAACCTTTCGCGGTCTGCACGGCAGGGACTGTCTTGTTTTAACACATCGGGCTCATGTTCTAAGAGCCTTGCTTTTGCTTGTAGAACATTCTATGGGGTTCCACGAGCATGTCGTGGTACGGTCCCGCTTATGATTAAGAACCTCCCCCCGAAAAGCTGGCCCAGCGCTTCTTAACCAACTTGCCAGAAAACTGGCTCAGCTTCTTAAGGGGATTGGTAGCCCTGGATCCTAGAAATCAGTCGTGCACGCTCCTGGCTCGAAAAGCTGGCCCAGCGTTTCCTCAAGAAACTTCTGAACAGCTGGCCCAGCTTTCTTGAAGTATCATGTTCTTGATCATCTGCTTGATTGTAGGCCTATAAGAATGCCGGGACGGTCGGCCCCTGCTCACGTGGCAGCGGCAGGAGGCACGAGGCAGGCCGTCGGGAGGCCCCTGCGGGGGCCACGAGAGCCGCAGCGTGGGGGCGGCTCCGTGGGAGGAGGCCCGCGGGAGCTCGGCGGGGATACGGCCCAGACCCCCTCGAGTAAGGAAAACATCATGACGGGAGGGTTTTCGCTATTTTAGCACCCTCGGGGCCCTTACCGGGCCTCGGGACCGTCAAAAAACTACTCGGGATGAAAATCCGGTCCTGGGGAAGAGGTTCAGACCTCGGGGGGTCGACGTAATGACAAAAGCATGACGTCGGGGGTTTGGGGGTGGGTTCGCGCCGTGTCGACCGGCGGCGACCCCGCCGCCTGCGTTCGAGGTGAAACGCCGCCAGAGGCCCAGATAGTTAAGTCAGGCCTGTCCCTCTACCAGAGGCGTATGCAGAATCAGTTCAAAAATCATCTGGGGACGAGTTTTTGAGCATTTTTAAAGCTATGTGTGGATCTCTTTTGAGTGCTTTTATTTTTCGCCCAAAACCCGCCTGTAGGGGGACACGCCCGACCTAAGCCTATATGGAACAATAGAGCGATCGAAGAGTCGCCGATCGGTCAAGGTCGAGCGATCCACGCGGCGTCAACAAAAAACAACGCTGGGGTCGCCACGACGCGGACCTGCCGTACGGGCCAGACCCCCGAGAGAGTCGCCATGGTCGGACGGGTGGTAATGTTAAGTCGGGCACGTCCCTCTACAGGAGGAAAATTCAAGAATAGTAAAAAAATCGTCAGGGGATTACTGCTTATCAATATGTCTGAATATTTATTGAATGACTTTCATTTGTCATCCAAGATCCGCCTGTAGCGGGGCATCCCCGACCGAATCGTACTGGGGAATGACCTTCGCGGGGATTAAGAGAAAGGCCCGAGACGGGGCCCTTTGGGGCCCCTTTTTTTAGAGCCAGTGGGTGCCCGAGAGGGGCCCCAGAGCGCCCCTCTCGGGGGCCTCTCTCTTCACCCCGCATCCGGGTCACCCCCCAGGAGCACCCGCCCGACATGGACCGGGCGGGCTCCTTGGGGGAACCGGGCTCGGTGTTCTTCAGAGGCGGCGATAAGGGGCGAATAGCCCAGGGAGGATCAATACGTATATCCAGGGGCGCCGAGGATCTATGTCTTCGACAAGGCTCCTGGGCGAATGCGTGTACTGCCCGCCCCTGGGCTATTCGCCCTTCTCGTCGCCGCCGAGTTCTCTCCGCCGCTTCTTCGGGAACCCCCGGGGGCCCCTTCCCCAGGCGCCGGGGCTCGTCATCAGAGGGACCTGGGACGGAGGGCCGGTCCCGGTCTGGGGGCGATGGCGGGGGCAGGCAGTGGCTTCGGCGGTGCCAAGGCACGCGCACTCTCCCTGCTCCCGTGCTTGCTCTGTCCTCTCGTCTCCCTCATCCTCCTCCTCGTCCTCGTCGACATGACCTCCGAGCTGGGGGCCTGCCCCCCTTGGGCATCCCCTCGAGGCAGAACAGGGACCTCTTGGAGGAGGAGTCCGCCGTGGCCGCGGCAGCTTGAGGAGGCGCGATGCGATGTCCGCTTAGAGCCCATGTGGCTTTGGACGCGATGCGGATTTGGAGTGAACACATCTCCAAGTGGCATGGCCTTCAGAGCCGCATGCTCGATGGCATACGTGTTTCACGTTTTTTGGATCGAGCCCCTTTTCTTTGCTTCTCACCTGACTGCACTGTCTATGAATCTCGTAGACGTGTGTCGTCCTCCCGCGAATGTACATGCTGGCACCTTTTAGCTTCCAGTGGCTCTTCCAAGACACTGGCCCAATCGCGACACCAAGGTTCGCCACGAGAAATGTCGGTGCGTGTGTGTGTGTGTGTATGTGTGTGTGTGTGTGCTTGTTCCCCTCCCTCCTACATGGTGGCACAATTCGCTACAACGGTACCCCCGTTTATGTAGCCCTCCGCCAGCGCATTTACCCTGCCTAGCCGCCGACACAAAATGTGTGTGTGTGTGTGTGTGTGTGTGTGTGTGTGTGTGTGTGTGTGTGTGTGTGTGTGTGTGTGTGTGTGTGTCCGTTTTCGTGTGTGTGTGTGTGAAATGGAGGGGCGCTCCAGCGGTGGCTGGCAGAGCAAACCCCCATGCTGGCCGTGCGACCGGGCTTCCGCGACTTGGGGGTCGCGGCACGCGCTGGCCCAGCTAGGCGGTGCGCAGTCGAAACGGCCCAAGTCCGCACCGCCACAGCCCGCTTCGCCAGGATCGGCCTTCGGCCACCGCTGCTTGCTCGGGTCTGCGGCCGGCACCGCTGCTGGCCTCGGTGCGGCGCGCGGGCGCCCCCCAACGAGAGAGCTCGCTGCGCTGCGGACGGCTGCTCGGCATGCGTACCAGGGCGGTCTGCGGGCCTCCGCGGAGATCGTCTTTGGCGTTCTGAGCCCGAGCTGGCGGCTTCACCCGCTGGCCGTTGTAACCCCGGCGCCGCTGTGGCAGGCTGCCAGGGCGATGCGTCGGAGTCGTTTCCCCGCCGCTCCCTTGCGAGAGGCCGCGGGGCCCACGGCAGCTGGGCACGGCCGCGGCCTTGGTCCGCTGGCGGCGGCGGCCAGGGGCATGGCTGAACTCCAGCTGGGAGCCGACATTGAGGCGTGGGCAGGCGTGTCGGAGGCGCCAGCTGGCTGGTGACCAGCGCAGCACGGCCTGCAGGCGACGAGGCGGGTTTGCTGGAGGCCTGGGCTCGCAGGGAGGCGCGAGAGCTGGCGGGGCGCCGCGCCTCTTTCAGGCACGCAGCCGCCAGGGCCGATCGCTGGGCCACCCAGCGGGTCCTGCAGCACAGCCGGCTCGCCGCCGATGCCGCGGGCGCGCTGCGCAGAGTGCTATCCGGCAGCGTGGTCGCCGAGCGCGTGGCCTCGAAGTGGGGCCGCCCGGCAGGCTGCCCGCATTGCTCAGGGAGGGGTAAAACACACACACAGACACACAATTGATCGTCGTTCCCCAGGAAAATATAGGAAAATTTGGGAAGTGGGGGGGAATACGAAAATCCAACAAAATATTGGAAAATATTGGGAATCCGGTTATTTGTGTGTATTTATGTGTGTATTTTTGGGCCTCTTTAATTGCGGCGCTCCGCTGGAGGACGTCAAGCACCGCTTCGGGGACTGTCCGCGCTGGGACTCTGCGAGGCACGCCGCCGTCGCAGGCAAATTGGGCTCGCCCCCGCGGCGGGCGCGGGCCTGCCTGCCACCAGAGGTGGCCCTAACGGGGGTCTTGTCAGGAGGGGAAAAACACACAGCCACAATTGATCGTCGATTCCCAAGAAATTATGGGAAAATATGGGGATTGGGGGGAAGACAAAAACCAAGAAAATATAGGAGAATATAGGGAATCCTTTCATTTGTGTGTATTTGTGTGTGTGTGTGTGTGTGTGTGTGTGTGTGTGTGTGTGTGTGTGTGTGTGTGTGTGTGTGTGTGTGTGTGTGTGTGTGTGTGTGTCAGGGCCCCTTCATCTTGACGCGGGACTCGCGCCTGGTGGCCATGGCTGACCAAGCGTCGTGGCCACTTCCGCCGCCAGCGCTGCCCGACCTGGCCGCGGCTGTTGCCGCGGCAGCCGCGGGCCAGCGGACGCGGGTTTAGACCGACGGCATTTGCGTGCATCCTGCCGGTTCCCTGATGGCCAGGGCGGGCTGGGGGGCGCGCGGAGCGCACTCAGCTGGCGCGCTGAAGCACGGGGGCCCCGTCGACTGCGAGCAGACATCACAGCGCACGGAGTTCACTGCTGCCTTGCACGACCTTGAGCTGGTCGGAGGGCCGCTGGAGGTCATCACGGATTTGAAGTTAATGTCTAAAAACCGTGTTTAAAAAACAATGTGAGGGGACAGTTTAAAAAGTAGTTATTCCCAGCGCTGTAGTGCGCAAGTAGAAAACAAAAGGAAGGCGGGGCAAGCTGGACCGCCGGGGTTGTCCCCGCGACCGCCCTGGCGCTCCGCTTGCAGGGGCGGAATCTTGCGCATCCCGTCTTGGCGTCAGGCCACGCCGGCCACGCCCCAACTTGGAGTTCTGGGAGCCAACCAACATAATTAAGGCTATTCAGCCTCACAAAAAACAGCGGGTGACACGTTTCACCCCCGAAGCCGTGTGAGAAAATCCAATTCTACATTTGGGATTCTGGTAGCCAGCATAATTAAGGCCATGCAGACACAAAACAACAGGTGACACGTGTCACCCCCGAAACCGTGTAAGAAAAAATAATTGTAAATTCTGGGTTCTGCGAGCCAACATAAAGCCATTCAGCTACACAAGAACAAGGAGTGACACGCGTCAACCCCGAAACCGTGTGAGAAAAAACAATTATAAGTGTAGAATTCTGGGAGCCACCATAAGGCCACCCAGCCGTGCAAAGATAACGAGCAACACGTGTCACCCCCGAAATCGCGTGGGAATAACCAATTGTAGATTTAGGGTTTTTGGAGCCAACATACGGCCATTCAACCTCACAAAAGCACCGGGTGACACGTGCAACCCCCGAAAACCTGAAACAAAAACCAATTGTATAGTTGGGATTGTGGGAGCTAACATAAAGCCATTCAGCCTCACAAAAGCAACGGGTGTCACGTCGTGTCACCCCCCCGTTTGAGAAAAGGCAATTGGAAATTTAGGGTTCTGCGAGCCAGCACAGAGCCATCCAGCTACACAAGAACAACGAGTGACACGTGTCAACCCCGAAACCGTGTGAGAAAAAACATGCATAAGTGTAGGATTATGGGAGCCACCATAAGGCCACCCAGCCTTGCAAAAACGACGAGCAACACGTGTCACCCCCGAAACCGTCTGAGAAACACCATGAGTAAATTTGGGATGCTGGGAGCCCACAAAACGCCAGCCTACCAAAAACAACGGGTGACACGTGCCACCCCCGAAACCGTGTGAGAATATTTGTTGTAGATGTGGGGTTCTGGGAGCCACCATAAAGGCCATCCAGCTTTTCAAAACAACGGGTGACATGTGCCACCCCCGAAACAGTGTGAGAAACAACAGATTTAAATTTGGGATTCTTGGAGCCAGCAAAACGCCATTCAGCCTCACCAAAACAACGGGGGACACGCGCCACTCTCGAAACCGTGTGAGAAAAAGCAAGTGTAAAGTTGGGATCCTGGGTGCCAAGAGAAGGCCATTTCAATCTCACAAGAACAACCGCTACACGTGTCACCCCCGAAATCGCATGAGAATAACCAATTGTAAATTCTGGGATCGTGGGAACCAACATAAGGCCATTTAGCCTCACAAAAAAGCAGCGGACGACACGTGCCACCCCCAAAACCGTGCAAGAAAAAACAAGTGTAAGTTTACGATTATGGGAGCCAGCATGAGGCCATTCTGCCTTACAACAAAAACGGGTGACGCGTGTCACCACCGAAACCGCTCGAGAAAAACTAGTGGTAAATAGAAGATCCTGGGAGCCAGCATGCGGCCATTCACCCTCACCAGAAACAGCGGGTGACACGTGTATCCCCCGAAACCGTGCGGGAAAAGAAACTTACAAATGTGGGACTCCAGGGCCAACATAAGGCCATTCAGCCGCGCAAAAACAACGAGCGTCACGCGCCACCCCCGAAACCGCGTGAGAAAAAACACATGTAAATGTCGGATTCTGGAGGCCAACATGAAGCCATTCAATCCCGCAACAACAACGGGTAACACGTGTCATCTCTGAAACCGTGTGGAACATTTTTTGTAAATCTAGATTTTTTGGAGCCGGCAACGGGCGACCCGAGCCCCCCCGAAATGAGAAAAATCATTTGTAAAGTTTGGGTTGTGGGATCCAACATACGGCCATTCAGCTTCACAAAAAAACGGGTGACACGGGTCACCCCTGAAACCGCGTGAGAAAAACGACATGTAAATTTGGGATTCTGACAGCCAACATGAGGCCAGTCAGCCTCACACCGCGCGCGAGAATTGGACACCACCGCGCGCACGCGCACGCAGTCGTTTGCGTACGTACGTGCAGTTTCCCAGTAAGACGAAAACTACCTACTCGTCGACGGAAGTAGCTGGCACATCTGCACGCGTACAGTTCATGCGCATATGCCAATGCATGCGCATGCGTGCGCGTGTTTACGCATATCTGTAAGCAAGCATACACGTGTGCATGTATGTATCGCATCCTTCGGTCCCCGTGGAATATGTTCCAGGGGGACGGCTTAAGATTAGTTATTCTGCGAAGAATTAATGGCAGTCGGGACCCCCGGGGGGGGGTCATCATTTTTGTGAGCAGGTGTGGGACATCACGTGAGCAGCTGCGTGGCGGCTCCTCTGGAGCGGGGCGTCGCCCATGGGGTGCTCGCGCGCCGACCTACAGGACCAGCTGGCCCCACACTGCCAGGCCGACTGCCCGAGGGTCCGCTGGGTCAAAGGCCACTTTGACGAGGAGCAGGCGCTGGGGAGGGGCAGTCGCCTCGAGGACCACGCCAGCAAAGCGGCGGCCGACGGGCTAGCGGGAGCGGCCTCGAGGACACGCCTTCCTGCTCCAGCGCTGGTCCAGCAGCGCGAGCCGCAGCTGCAGGCGTTGGAGG